ACTTTTAATAACTCATTGAAGTAATTAAAATTGACTAATTGGTACATTTTATAATTATCATTAAAAGTACAATTTCTGATTTTCTGATATTTCTTTTCCAAAATTCTCTTTCCAGATAAAACTGAATATTTAAAATTCTTTTTTTGTGTACTCATAATTTAACATTTTTAAGATCTAACCCATAATCAGATCGGCTTAACATATGCAAATTTATGGTGATATTCTACAATCTATAAATAAACATTTTTTTATTTTCGATATCATATATTACATAAAAAGAAACTAAAAAAAAAATTAAATAAACACATTAATTATTTAAATATATATTTACACTTAATATTAAGATTTATTAAATATAATTCCAGGATCTCTTTCGAAGTAAAGAAAATCGAAAATAACGAATTCTTACCAATTTTCTACTAAAATATTTACCTGCTCTAGGAATCACAGATATTCCAAAAGTTTGAGCTCCATTACATAGAGACCTCTATTCTAATAGTATTCACTGTTGAATAACAATGCAGCAAATTCGGAGTTCGAATGAATGTATGCGAATGGATATTTTTCGTAATAAATTTTTTATTATAAGTATTGTATATTTTCGGAAAAAAACAGGAACTTAATTAATCAAACATAGCTCTAATTGTTATCAGTTAAGTATTTTTTTGATATAAGCCAAGATAAATTAAACGGAAAGGTTTATGGATCTCAAATTAAACCACATTCAAGCCGTGAACGATTCCATAATCATAATTTTGATCTATTCTCAGTCCAGTTCTTTCTCTATGATATACATACGGTAGAATATGGTTAATAGATAATTACAGCTCATCCACATTCGTTTTTCTTTAATTAAATAATAAAAGAAAATATATAAAAATTTATGTGGAACAGTGTTTGGCTATGCATGGATTATTGTAGAGCATTAGCTATAGTTGATTAATTTCGTATAACTCTATAACTATATATGAATATTTATTTCAGAAAAAGTAGTACATTATTGAATAAACTTAAAATAAATTTAAATAATAAACTGTGTGCTTCAACAATTTTTTCGTTACAATTTAATAAAAGAAAAAAAACTTCCTTGTCGATGTTTAGATCACTGTATTATTAGCCATTAAGCCTGGCATTTAGGACAATTTTATTCTTATCTTCTAATGACCAGCGACCAATGACTAGACTACGAACCGTATCAAAAAGAAAACTAGGATACCGAAAAGCACAGCCTACCACATTTTGGGCGAAGAAATGAAACGTCTGTGATCGCTTCATGCCATACACTCTAATAAACGACGAAAAATACTGGAAAGTGCAGCATAGCAAAGAATGTTGATGACCCCAAAAAATGTTACAAGCATTTTAGCGACTGTAACTAGTAATGGTGGAAATAGCTAGAAATGTTAGAGACTACGCATTGAAACAAGCAAAATATTAAGCGTTTCGTTCAATTCAAAAGGAATAGGAATAGTTCATGGTAAATTTGACCCGAAATTCAAAAAGTTCGACCTTGGTGACCTTAGAATATAATCTGACAATGATTATGGACTAGAATTCGACGAGTTTGAAGTCAATATTGTCAGCTTTTATTGCATGATAATACTTCATTCCACAAAACTATCATGACAAGAGAATTCTTGAACACCTTTTGAATTAATTTTGTCGATTATCCATCATATTCATTTGATTTGGCACTATACCACGCCTGGCTATGTCCTAAACTGAAATTGACTATAGAAGAATATAACTGCGATAAAATCCTGGTTATCCAAAATGCGTTGAGTGGCACAGTAAAAGTAATTCTGATTGTTTCGAAAAATTTGTTGAATATTTTCAATGGTATATTGACTCAGAAGGAAACTATTTTAAATAAAGAAAAATTAATATCAAATTAAATGACATTTTGTATAATAAATCAAAATAGTCTCATAATATACTATACTCTTACTCTTATACTCTTAATAATTAATAATAAGTATTTTTTTTTTATTTTTATTATATAATTTTTTGTAAAGTATTTATGTATTCATTTAAATATTTTAAATTTGTACAACATTTGAACAAAAAACAAATCAATATTAAAATTGACACTGTTGGCAAATGCAGTCAAACCTCTCTATAGTGAACCTCCCTATAACGAATTCCTCTCTATAACGAAGTTTTTTCAGGTACTCAAATAAATTTTTGTATACAAAAAACTTCTTTATAATGAATTTATTCAACTGCAAGTTAAAAACTCAACTTGTAATTCATGAGAAATTTTTTATATGCAAAATTATAAAAAAAAAATTATAAAAATTTAAATTATAAATTATAAATTTAATATGTAGTAATTAATAAAAATAATTTTTCTAAATACAAACCAATATATAATAATTGTTTTTGATATTATGTACATAATTCTAAGTCAAATACCAAAAAAAAAATTTAAACAAAAAAAATTTTGTTCAACCTCCCTATAACGAAGTCCTCTCTATAACAAAGAGGTTTGACTGTACCTGCCTACGTACATAGACAATAAACTGACATGAAAACATCATTAAACATAAAAAGAAATTGATATAAAATATTAATGTCTATTAAAAAGAAATTCTGACTTAACTATTAATTATAAATATTTAAATCGGTATTTTTTAAAGTTGAATACATGAAGTCCAATTATGTGATACAGAGAAGAAACTACTACAAACATTAGTCGTTTAGTTATATCAATTATATAAATTATTATTTATAAAATTTATAATTCATTATTATAAACATAAAAGTAAAAGTTTGTAAAATGTACTTAATGGTGAACGTAATTGTGGATAAACACAAAACATATACTTTTGAAAATAAACAAAAAAAAAATAGAATTTCAATAGAAAATTATATTTTTAAAACTTGTGCAAATTTTGTACTTGCACTTGTAATTCTCATACACTTTAAATGGTTATTACTTTAAGTAGCAACCACAACTGTAAACAAAACGTAAACTATTTTAATATAAACCGTGATTAGAAGCAATGTGAGAAATAACTTTATGAAATTTTGTGTTAAGAAATATTAATTGTACGGAGTTTAAAAATGGTCTTAAAATTGATTGTGTATATTTTACACATCTTACAATTGAATTTATTTTTCTTTTTAACTATTTATATATTTTTTTATCAATATATAAGACAATTCTACTCAAATGTAAAAATGTAGTTGTCTGATTTTACTACAAAAGACGATTGGAAGTAATATTGAAAATAAGTTCGAAATTTTCCACATTACTTGTAAAAAGAGTTTCAAATTCATCATAAGTTTAAAACACGAATTTTAAATTTATTTTATTTAATGTTAAAAATTAATGATTAATGTGATTAATAATTAATAAATATCTATGAATTCTGAGAGAAGATTTAAGATAAAAATAATAACGGTTTTTATCCCTTTTCAAATAGTATTTTTAATTTATTTTTGTTTTAATTTTTGAGTCGTTACTTCGAAAATGTTTAAATGCGGTTATTTTTGTTTTTTAAAATATACTAACTTTTATTTCGAAAGTTTTTTTTTTTTTTTTTTGTGTATCTCTACACGTGTTTCGGCAAATTCGGTTTTGCCTTCATCAGGAGAATTCCTAATATATTCCTAGTATTTTTAAGTTTGTCATTATAGGCCTTTTCGGTGGCTTGCAAGTATGGCAAAAAACAGCAATTTGCTGGCCTATACTGGTCGAAATGTACGCAAAACAACAACACTATTTTTTCTACCTAGGCCAGTAGTTGTATACTGGCCACCACGTTTGCCACTTGAAAAATTTTTTCCTTGCCAAAATTGGTTAAAAAAGATACTATTTCTGTAAAAAATTTTATTCTGTTGTATTTTAATAAGAAAATACAATATAAATAAGCTGTACAGAAGATATAGAACAGTACAATTTTTTTTATTCATAACAATTTTATTATTTAAATAATCGGATTATCTTTTGCTGACCATATGTGGTTCATATCTTCTTTATCAAATAATTATTTGCATAACATATTACTATTTAAGGTCTTAAAATCCAATCGAAATTTTCTCTTACCTTTTGCGACTTCAATATTTTTTTCAAAATAATCACATAAAATTATATTAGTTTTAGAGTGCCCAGTTGCATCTCTTCGGTGTCTCGCAAGTATGACAAAAAATGCATGCTGGGCTATAGTGGCCACGCGAGCGTTGGCATCACTGTTGCCATCTGTCAAAGCAAAAATAGCATAATGCAAGTAAATTACATTTTGTTTAAAAATAAATAAGTAACATACCATAGATTGAAAATTAAAATAAATACAAAATTAAAAGGAATGGGAAAAATGTTCAAAATTTCAAAATAAAGCACCAAAATTTTTCTTATTTTCCAATTTCCAAATTGGAAATTTTTGAATTCTGTTTGAATTTCTGTTTATACATAATTTTTGACATATGATTGCAATATTCGTTGGTATCACAATAGTTCGCTTATTGCGTTGGTCACACTTTTTTTTACGAAGTGTGTGGTTGTAAGACTAATGTGCACAAAATGTATTCACGATTATTTGAATTTGTATTGATGCACATTCAACGATACACAGACATCCTGAATACCCTTTTTTATTTATTCTTTTTTTCCAATTTTCAAATTTATTAAATTTTTGAATTTTTGTTTGCATATGATTTATGATATATGATTGCAACATTCGTTGGAGTTTCTAATTAAGGTTCACAATAGTTCGCTTACTGTGTTGGTAACACATTTTTTTACTGATCGAAGTGTTTGGCCAGTAAACAATTACTTACGTAGATAGAGAAAATAGAATTGTTGTTTTGCGTACATTTCAGGCAGCATAGGCCAGTCAGTTACTGTTTTTTGCAACAATTCCAAGCCACCGAAAACGTCTTTTGTTGTTATACAAACATATTGAGAATTGAAACGTTTAATTAGCATAAGCCAAAAAAGTTTTTATTAAATATAGAAAAATTTTTTCAGTGTATGCACAAAGTGCTGCCAGATGCCTAATAGTTGACAAAAAATGTGTCAACAACGTAGATAAAATTGAGAATGCTAGGATAGTAATCACGATATATAATTGCATTTAATTATTAAAGGATATGGTATATAAACCATGTTAGAATCGCATCTATGTAATTAATTATCATATAGTATTATAACGTATAATACTTGGCCACATAAAGAGGTGGGGCACGGTCCAAATGGAGTCTCATGAAGACGGAAGTGCAAAACGCGGCCGTGGTCGTGGTCGCGGAAGGGGCCGTGGTAGAGGCAGAGGACGTGGCAGAGGCAAGAAGAGGTATTTAATATAAGATATATAAAATAATACAGTAAGTGACGTAAACAATTTGTTTGCAGAACTGTCCAAGGCGCCCAATCTGATGAGGAAACTTCAATGGACCATGACAACACTGCAACTGTACATACGGAAGAAGTCGAGGTTCCAACTACAGTAACTGAAACAAACGAAGAGGTAGTTGCGCCCACTGAATCAAATAAAGAAAATGAAAGCGAAACTAAAACGCCGGCACAAATTGCATCAAGTACTGCTGCGGTAACCAACTCTACAAGTGAAGTTTCAGCAACAACAAATTCAACTCCTGCTGTTGATAATACTATAGCTTCTAACGCTGCTGCAAACTCAAACGAAGACCAAAGTCAAGTAACAGCTGTGGCGCCAACAAGTATGTTTTCGTTATTTTTAGAACACAAGCATTGTATATAATTTACCAATTAATTATAGTTGATATGGAAGCGGACATATCTCAACTTGAAGCACCAACATTTACAACAATTTCAAGAGGGCCACCAGAACCTATGTTACGCCTAAAATGGGATCATAAAGTTAATTTAATTGGTGAAAAAGTCCTAAATCCCATGATACACTGTTGTGACCAATGTGAAAAACCAATTTTGCTGTATGGTAGAATGATACCATGTAAACATGTGTTTTGTTTAAAATGTGCACGTACTGAACCTGTTAAAACATGTCCACGCTGTAACGACAAGGTTTTACGTGTTGAGCAATCTGGTTTGGGTACTGTTTTTATGTGCACACACGGTGGAAGTAGATATGGAAACACTGGATGTAGGCGCACCTATTTATCTCAGGTATTATTTCCCATTACCTTTTATAATAGTTTATAAAAACATTACATAATTTAAATCACTGATATTTATTTACTTTGCCTGGAGAATGTACATATAATCTACATAATTTTTTTTGCATTAATCACAAAACTGTTTAAATATCTTGCCAATTTCAAAAGTCTAAGGCGAGTCTGTTGACGAGTTTTTCAGTCTAAATGAATCTGTACAAAGCTTGATCACTGGTGTCTTAATTATACTAACTGAATTTTGAATCTTAAATCAGGAAGTAATGTTATGATTGCTAATAGTTCTCATAAGACACAGTGAACTATTGGCTCTTTTAGTAAAAATAATAATAAGCATCAAATAATATTATTAGTTTTAGTGCACTATACATATAATATTCCTTAAAGGCATTACCTTTAAACACATTTATAATTTCCTAATTTTGCATTTCCCTATTTGTCTATTTGTAATTAAAAAAATTGAAATTGTTAATTCATAATTAACATAATTTTTTTATGTATTTATGCTCCTATTTGAACAATATAAATGTACGAGCGAAAACTGTGTTCTGCTGAGGAAAGAAACATCAGTTGACCACACATCCGTTTACAAAAAATATAAAGACTAAAACTTCTTCAAAAGTAGCTAAAGGAGCGGTATTCTGATTATGCTTAACGCAGCTAGTACATCACGCAATCTCTAAAATGGTTGCAATAATTGCTAACAATAGCATTTTACCGGTTGTTATAGCACTGCGAGAAATGAGTAAAAAGCAAAATAATTATATTAGTTGCATTTAAAACAAGGTTGTAAGTGAAATTAAGAACAAAACATAATTTATTCGCAAACAAAATGTAGAACCAGTCTCTTCACCGTTCAAAACATAACTCTAAATAGTTTAGAGTTTGGGATTATTGAAGAACGATTGCCTAGATAACTGCGTCTAGTTCCGTACTTACTTTCTTTGTCAACGAGACAACAGTAGGAACATGTGATTTAATGATCAATTGATCAGTTATTTATTTCTCAGTCATCGGAATGATCTTTTGTGTATAGATTCTAGGCTTTAAATTTTGTTAAACTACATATCATAACACCAGCCAATGAACAGCTGCAGTATAGACATCTGTCAAATGCTTTGGAATAGTATACATCCTTGCCAAACATTTAGCATTTTGCATTTTAATCTACTTCCTTCGAATGTAACATATCCATCAACTTATTGCGAAGTCCAAAATTCTTTTAAGGGATTATAACCAGTTATTGCCATAACAATTTCTCCAGTTAGGTGATACAATTAATTGAACCCGTTCAACATTGCATACGTTGATCCCTTTCGCAGTACCATAAGTACATCGGCATTTTCTGCAACTGAGCTAACATCAGTGAGTTCGATATTCCGCAATGACATATTGTTCTGCATATATATATGGCAGTATCTTTCTCAAGGCAGCATTTGCACAGCAGAAAAGAAAATCTTAATAGTCATCTATATTAAGTCCTCTCTCTTGGTCCAATCAACTATTGGATATATGTTAAATACATTCAATGTGATGTGATACATAATACGTATATGTATAGGTACGTTTATCTACAATGAGTTCCCCAACTGCAGATCTACTCTTAATGACTTCGATAATCTAAGTTTATATTTAAACGCACACATTAATATGAGTTTTTTTGGTTTATGCTTCCTTTACATTGAACTGAAAAGATTCCATCTCGACGTAGACTGTGCTCCTTTACATACGAGCCACTTTACATTGAAGTGAATATGCCCAACTATTCCTTTTCTTATTATTTTATCTTCTTACTTACTCAATCCTTTCCATTCAATCCCTTTGTATAAGTTTTGTTGTTTTTATATGTACTCATTTTCTGCGGTGTACTAAGTTATAAAAGCAACAAATTCACTAAATTTATTTAAAAAAAAAAATTTTTTTTCATTATTTTTATTTAATTGCTGTGTGGTCAGCCAAAAAATCAATTATTTAAAAATATTATAAAAAAAAAACTTTTGTTGTTGCACAATAGTGAATTGTTCGTTAAAAATCTGTTTTGAAACCTGAAAATCGAAGACAATAATTTATATTAAGAATTTAGTCAAAAATTCGTTTAAAACGGACATTAAAAATCAAAATGAAAAAGTTTTACTCATTTCTTTAAAAACAATTAATTTATTTGAATTTTAAATTTTTAGAGAGACTTGCAGGCTCATATCAATCATCGACATGTGTCCCAACAACCACAATTACCTCAATCCAATAACTCAGCTATAAATGATGCAAAAATGGACCAAAATTTGGAAACATTAAAATCAATTGGAAAACAACGGAAGGTATACATAAATATAAATTTAAAAATAAATATATTATTATTAACAGGAAAATAATTAAATAATATATTTATTTTAGCTCTCCGAAACAACGCCTGCAACAAATACACAAACTTCCACGACATCGGTGCCACAGCGTACTCAAAATCGCAGCACTAGCAATATCGGCAGCATACCACCACCGGGAACAGCAAACGCAACAACAGCACAAACAACAACACACTCTCATTCCACACTAACCCAAGCAAATCTGGCACGCATCAATACTGCAAATGCTCAAGATTGCCACCAAGGAAAGGTAGCACTGCATCAAACGCTTAAAAAGACACCAATTACGCAGTCACATCATCAACCACCAGAAACAGTGGCGGATGCATCATATTATAGCAGTGTGCTAAATTCCTTTGGCGGTGCTAGTGGTGGTAATAATTCGGTTGGTGGCAACAGCACGAATAGCACTGGCGTTACTGGCACACAGAGTAGCAACGGTGGTAGTAACAGCGGTACAAATAACGCAACTACAAATGGACAAAGCACTAACGCAGTTCCATTCACAAATTCGAAATCGTATGAACCAGCAACCGGTGTGGCAGCATCCAAAAATCAATATTACAGATGAATAGGAAGGCTAAGATATATAAGGATGGCATACATTTTGAGTACCGCCACATTATTTAGAACTGACGTTTATATTTTAAATCCATAGGCTAAAATGAATTTCTATGTAAAAGATGCTTAGACAAAAACCTGAACAAAGGATATTACTTATTTTATTATTTGGCAATATTTTTCTTTTTTTCTATAAACAATTTACTTGCTTGCATGTGTAAATTGCTTAATTTTAGTTTTTCAATTTATATTGTTCTTATTAATTTTATAAACAATCCATTCTTTTAAGCTAAATTGGAAAATTTTAGAACTTTAACAATAATGTTTTAAATACTGTTATTGCAAAATTGAAATATTAAAATTTAACATTTGTAACTGCTTGTACAATTTCGTAGTAACTTTTAAATAATTATTTTTATTTTTATAATTAGTATTTACAGTTTTATTCATTTTTCAATATAATTTTTAAATTTTTGTTTGTAAAACATAAAACACAATTATTTGTATTTCCGCCTTTATTAATAACTACTAACATTTTTATTTTTTAACATTTTAAAATAATACAAATTAACTAATAACAAATACGTAAAAAAGATGTCAAGTAAAATATACTAACAAGTAGAATTATTACAGACATAATTGTGTAAAATAAATTGATAGTAATATATAAAAATTTTATAATATTTAATAATTGTATTTTAAATATACTTAGGTAAACACACTATAACATTTTCAGTTCCCATTTACACATACAAAAAAAAATTATAATTAAATTAAAAAAGAAAATACGATATTTAAGCAATTGTTTTATTAATAAATTCTGATGCAAAATTAAAATAAAAAATATAGAAATTTTTATGAGATTAAATAAAATTGCAATAAAATACATATTTATATGAATATATGTTTATATGTTAAATTAGACTCAAAAACCGAAAATATTTATTAAATAAAAAAACCGTTCGAAATTGGAATTTTTTTTTTTATAAATTCACGATAAAGAATTGCAGTTGAAATTAAAGATTATTTTAAATTAATTTATATAAGTAATATATGAGTAAAAATCATTAATATGCTATTTATAAAAATAAACATTTCACAATTGAACCAATATTTTAGCCGATATAAAAAAAGGAACGCAACATTAATGGAAAATAATGTTTCGAATAAATTATCTGTGATGTGGCCTTTGTTTTGGATATAGACTGGACTTAAAATGTAAAGACTCTACTTTAATTGCTTTAATTAATTGCATGTTAGGACAAGAAAGTTAATTAATTTTAATTTATAAAGATTTAAATTGAAATAAAAAACATTTGCAAAAAAAAAAATAAAATAAACATTACTAAACATTTTCATATCCACACGATGATGTTTTGTATGGCAAAATGGAATCGCACAAATACAGGGGTTGTTAAAAGTTAGAATAAATTAAAATTATAGTAAAAAAAAGAGTGTTCATAAATTTAATAAAAAATACAAAAACAAAATTTGCTAACATATTTCATCTAGCACATACTGCAGACTCTGTTTGGAAGACGATGAAAGATCTTATATAAATGTCCGGACTTCGCGAGAATAATATTTAAATTCTTTTCTAGCCTATATCCTTGGTCCCTCCAACAATTAACAGCTCCACTACTAAAACAGTTCACTTATAGAAAAATAAGAGAAGAAGCGAAATATAGAGAACTTTTTGATTTTGAGGTCGCGTGGCGGTAAAAATAGTCCACTAAGTCTCAGCTTAACAGCCAAACTCGTCAAGGTAAGTGCGATAATCTCTCAGACTGATGAGAAGCTCTTGATATGGTCATGTCTCTGCTGGGGAGAGAAAACTTTCCGGGTATGTATAGCTAAGTAATTGTGAATGTTTTGCCTTACTATATGTGTGCATGTATAGCTACTTATTATATACAGTACCCGACCAAACCATTAAATCTAAAATAGACTTACGCTGAGGATTCTTGGCTGGAAGGGTGCATCTAGTAGATTAGTACTGAAAACAGGATATCGGGCGTCTTCCTGTTTTATTTAATGCCTTACTAAAGTAAGGGCCTCTGCATTGAGTGACCGGTTTTCCCCTTTTAAACATTTCTATATGAAAAATTTAAATAACATTAACAATAATTAAATTACAGAGTCAGAGGATGACATTCCACTCCGTTCACCAACGAAAGTTGGAGAAAATCGTGAACAAAAACTTGAAACCTCACTCAATATTCAAGATCCGGACGATCTTAACTCATCTGCTCAGAGACCAATGGTATCAACCTATGGAAGCACCTCACCAGTGACTGATACACAGAATTCTATGGACACAGGTCACTGCGATGGCGATGAATTAACCTCAGATGACCTCAGATGACGGCAGCAAAAAGACCAGGAAGAATGCGGAATACTTCACAGGGGCTCAAAAAAGGCGTGTCAAGACTATGATCAGAGACGGCTTGGATTTGAAGACTTCGAAATAGAAAGAGAGGGAGCGATATTCTCTCTACAAAGCTCCCCTGACGGCAGAAGGAGAAAGTGACAGACCCAATACCAGCAAAAGGTGGAGATCTAATACATCTCTCGAAAAAGCACGCAGCCCAAGAAGCCAAAAGCCATCCAGCAAACAACTAGCTCGATCGAACACCAACCGACCCCGACCCCAACATTGAGGAGTCAAAAAACATCCATTGAATCTAGGTTTTACAAGGAACGAAGGCTGCAGACTTTATCACGAAGAAGAGGAAACAGCAGAACATTTTATTTACGTACAGCATTCGCAAAGCAGAAAATATGCTTCTAATAGTTGTTACTTAATTAATTCGAAATCATTTTAAAAACGATCAATACTCTGATGTGAAATTATGGTTATCAAATAGGATAGAATATATCTTTTGGATTTTCGTATAAAAAATCTTCAGTTCTTGAGTCTAAAATACATTCTATTCATTTTACACAAACAATTATTTAACTGTATATATATATACTCTGGAAACTCCGTTAACCGGATACTCATCGTTATTAAACTTTTATCCTTTTAAGAAAGGTAATAAGTTGTTCGAAATAATGATAAAAATATTGTCTACTCTCTAGGGTAGACGATGTCTGTTCAATAGATGTATCCGTTTGGAAAGTTTTCATTATATATATAATTTAAAGTTAAGACTAACAAAAATAAATCATAAATACATCAATTTTATTTTAAACGAAATCGTTAATTGTTCGATATAATTTTCAAAAAAATATTACAAATACTTTTAACAAAAGTTAAAAATAATATAAAGTTAAAAATAAATAATTAAATATATTATTTGTTTGGAGTGTGGTGCATACAAATAGATAGATACAATAGTAATAATTTCTTTTATTGTTTTTCAGTAAAGAATGAAATTTTTTATCAATCAATTCAATATTCTTAATTAAATAAACTAAAGATGAATAAACATTATGACGTTTGGTATTAGACTAAGCCGACACACATATCAACATATTCTGAGAAACAGAACTACTTTAGTTTAATATGCAAACTAACTTCAATTAAATGTATTTTGAATGAAAACCACTAAAAACAATTTTGGTTAATATATTATTTGTAAAATCGGAACTAACATCGGTGGAAAACGCGGTAGAAAATGTCCGCATCTTCTATTGAAGGAACAGGTGACCAATGATTTGGGGGCACTCGGTACTGCTGACCGGCGACAACAAGTAACTGATCGGACTGACTAAGCAAGTAGTAAATCGGAACTAAAAATATTTCAACTAATCTATGTTTAGTACCTCAAATACAAAAGATTTATAATTTTTCCAACATAAACCTAAAAATAATTTATTTAATTTTTATAAGAAAACTGATATAATTTAATGTTCACAATATCTGATATATAAAGGTCCAAGAACAAAACAATTGGTTGCATTTCATTATAATATATAAGGCGAGAATATTTTAAAAAAATTTGATAATACGATTCCATTAGATAAAGCAATATAACTCATTAGTTATGTAGAAGACTCAGATACACATATCCGTATATAACAGAAAACACAAAGAGACTTCATATATATATATATATATATATATATATATATATATCAAATATGTATATATATAAATATATATTCCTCTATAATTCACTTTTAATCACTCATTTAATTGAAAAAAAAAAATTTATTATAAACATATTTATTGACTGTTATATCAGCAAAGCGAGGTTAAATCCCTATTCAGGAATAGCTTAATATACATTCCAAAAATAAATCGCTAGTCGTGATAACCAATAATCACTCGCTCATGCCATCCGTTGATGTCTCACTATTCACCCGGAAGATGAAACAAACAAGCATCTCAAATACATATGGAATGCCAAGGAGGACTAAAACAAAAACGCACTTTAAAAAATGGAATAAATTTTTAACGATCAATTAATTAAATATTGTAAAATAAAGTTTCAAAAATTATTGGTGCCGCAATGAGCTTTGACAATTTTCATGTTCGAGTATACTTGTACTGAAGCATAGCAACCTATTCGAAAATGATCGCATACTATATCTCCTCTTCGAACATTTATTATAATATACATTTGTATAAAGAGGTTTTCTAAAAGTAGTGAACTACAACAACAAAAATTCTTGAATTTTTGGCTGACCACTCAGCTATTTCAAGTATTGCCAAATACTTATCATCAGTGGTCTTGGAAATAGTTCTTGTATTTAATTATTTGTAAAAAATGTTTTGAGGCTGCAAGTACCAGGGTTCGAACTCGTGCCCTGCCAAAGCTCAGATTCAGCGCTTCTTAACCAACTGATGAAAATTAAATAAAAGGTAGGGCAAATCAGCTGCAGGAGGACCTCGAACATATTTGATTGCCTACTAGCAAAATTTTTCGAATACTTAAGATATTTAATTCAAATCTTTAGTTCAAGATCTACTCGAATGTCTTTGATTAACGAGTTACCAACATTTTTGAATATTTAAGATATTTGATCTAAATCCACAGATTATACTCAAGCTCTTCGAGCAACTTTGATTAGTGATTGGCTAATATTTAAAATGTTGTATTCAGATCTTATTTCAAGTATACTCAAACTGCTCGAACATCATACATCGAATACTTTGAAACACTATTTAAAACACAAAATTGACATTAAATACGTCTCAGATCGTACTTGAAATTAAAATGTCAGTTGGTATGAAATACTATTAAGGGATCTGTAAGAAATTATTGGTAATATTATAACATCAAATCTCACAATTGTTTCAAGAAATTATTTGGTGCAAAGTATTTGATGATAATTAATCATCAAATATGATGATAATAGTAGTTGATAATATGATAATAGTAATTTCTGAAAGGAACTAATGTATACGATATATTGTATACATTATGACTTTCACAAATTTTTATGTCAGGGTATATCTCTAGCGTGGATCATAGATCAATAGATTGATTTAACAAAATGTGTTGTTAACACTATGAACTTTAGATAGAGTGTAATAAATTTATATATTTTATTAAAAAATCAACATAAGATTTTAATAAATGTTTTACTTTTTGGGTGCAAAAAACAAAAAAAAAAGAAAATTGTAGTTAAATCCTTAATAACAATGCATTTTGTTAACAAACTAAATTGAAATTAAATTAAAATTGAAAGAATATTATTATATATAAACTAAAGTAACGATTTCGTTTAATTAATATAAAATTATTTTTAAAAATAATTAAATAAGAAATTTGATATCAACATTTATAATTTTGTTCATATTGGTACATTATATCCAAAAGGAACTATGAATTTGTTAGCCATACGTTTGAAAATCTGATATTAATAATAAAATAACAAAATATATATATATATAAATATATACATAAATTATATATATATTATATATTTATATATATATATATATATAAATTTTATTTATATCATATATGTATATATAAATTGTATATATATATATATATATATATAAATTATATGTATATCATATATGTATATATATACATACATAAATTATATATATATCATATACATGTATACATATGAATGTATGTATATATATTAAATATATACATATGTAATATAAATATATATATATATGCTTCAAAAAAAAGAAAAAACAAATCACCGTTCACACTTTTTGTAGCCTATATTGGAACATGCGTTCTTCTGTTTCGTTTTATTCGTATCTACTCTCATACTTTTAAGTTTTTATTGTGTTTGGCTGGATTCCATATTAATTAATAATTCACTGGCATTTGTTTCAACCCGTTCACTAGTCGCAACAGCAGAACCAGAGTAACTATCACCATCCTTAGGCGGAGGTGCTGGCATTGGAATCGCAATTGGGCTCATTGTACTGATCATGCGTGGTTCAGCACGTGCTGTTGTTATTGGTTGCTGTGTTTGTGCAGCGCTCAGTTGAGGTAAAAATGATGGTGTTGATCCAGGATCAATAGCATTTTTTGTTCCAGTGTTATGATGATGATGTTGATGCTGATGTTGATGTTGATGCTGATGTTGATGCTGATGGCCATGATTGTGGTGATGTTGATTGTGGTTTTGATGGCCATGATGTTTATGTTGATGCCCAGCAACAGTTGGAAACGATTTAGGTAACTGATTATGTCGGGAGGAATCAGTAGATTTCAGACGTTCACTTAATGCTTTAAGTGCAATTTGGCTGAAATAAAAAAAAATTTATAATTAACATCTAATAATTAGTGAAATAGTTGTGATTCAGTATTACGAATACTGATGCATACATTCTCGGTTTAACATACTCTTTTTCCAATAACATTGATAACTTTAAGTAACGAAGGTTTAAAATTTTAGACATTCTTTAGAGTTAGACTAGCACTATTTTACAGAAATTCCGAAATAAGAGTTTATATTACATCGCTCAACAAGTCTTGTGACTAACACACAGATGGCGCTGCCATTGTCAAATCCATATGACGTTTATGAAGTACCAACCTTCAAAAGACTATGTGTAAAATTTCATGACATTTCAATTAGTCAGAAAAAAGTGACAGCCATTTAAGTGAAGCTACTTTTGTTATTTTTAAAACAATGGATTCAAACCAATTTCGTGTGTTAATTTATCAATTGCTTCTTGAGGAAAAAAAAATACTGTACAAGCTCAGCAATGGCTTTAAAAGTGTTATCCGGACTCTGCTCCATCGAAAAGAACCATTTGTTATTGGTATGCTACAGACACCGATGATAGTGAACGTTCTGGTCGTCCAATTAAGGTGATTACTCCATAAAATATCAAAAAAGTCCAGAAACTGGTTATATGTGATCGTAAATTGAAATTCCCTGAGATAGCTGAGACTGTAAAGATATCAGAAGGCAGTGTGTTTACAATTATGCATGAACATTTGACCATGAGAAAACTCTTTTCAAAGTGGGTGCCGCGTTTACTCACAGTCGATCAAAAATAACAACGTATTGATGATTCAGAGCAGTGTTTGATCATGTTTACGCGTAATAAATCAGATTTTTTGCGTCAATATGTGACAATGGATGAAACATTGATCCATCACTTCATTGCGGAATCAAAACGATCATCATCTGAGAGGACTGAAGCTGGTGAACCACGTCCGAAGCGTCAAAAGACACAACAGTCAGCTGAGAAGGTTACGGCTTCAGTATTTTGGGATGCACATGGTATAATCTTCATTGATTACCTCGAAAAGGGAAAAACCATTAATAGTAACTACACGGCATTACTGAATCATTTGAAAGCAGAAATTGTGAAAAAAAGACCGCTTATGTCAAAGAAGACATAAGCGGCCTTGTTTCACCAAGGCAATGCACCACGTCACAAGTCAATAAAAACGATGGCAAAATTGCACGAATTACACTTCGAATTGCTTCCATATAGTCCAGATCTGGCCCCCAGCGACTACTGGCAATTCGCTGATCTCAAAAAAATGGTCGGCGGTAAGAAATTCATCTCAAATGAAGAAGTAATTGCTCAAATTGAAGCCTATTTTGAGATAAAAGACAAATACTTCTACAAGCACGGCATCGAGAAGTTAGGGAAGCGTTGGAATGATTGTATTGCTCTTGAAGAAGATTATATTGATGAGAAAAATCGATTTTTAGCAGAAAAAAAATTTTTTTTCTTAGTTATTCACACGACTTATTGAGTGATGTGTTAATTTATTGTTTCAATGACTTGTTTTTATATGTTTTAGAACTATTTGATCAATGTTAAATAATAGACATTTTAAAATAGTTTTAAAAATATATATATATATTATTATTACCCGTATTTTTATTGGTATAATAGGACTCTTCTGACCGCAGAACCGGCTGTTTGGCGATTTCACGACAATAGTTTTTTACCGGTATTTTTTGGTACATACCCTGAAGATAACTATAGGCTATAATCGATATATCGGTACCAACAAAATATATTTTTTTAAACAAATTTATAAAGTTTTGTATTATTTAACATTGATTAATAAGTTCATTTAAAAATAAATAAAATAAATAATTATATTATTATATTCAATTATATTATGCTTTAAAGCAGGGATGTCCAGATCCAGATAAGATCGTAGGCCAATTGAAATCATGATATTCAATTTAGTTTCATTAATTTTTCATTAATATATCTTTTACAATTCTATCAACATCAACATTATTAATATTAATTGTTGTCATACGAAAAATATCTAATTTTTAATACAATGACTTACGGCACTGGATACGAGTTTTTTAAACCAATTGTAGAGAGATATATATACTGAAGTCTTTGTCTATTAAGTAAATTAATATCCTAGTGTAATAAATTATTCGAAACATTTTTATTAATTTATTTAGGATACCATAAAAATAAAATAATGCTGTTACAAAAATAGTAGTAGCCTCGGGCCGTGCTTTAGAATGTTTGAGAAATTTCTGACACTGATTGAAATTAGACAAAAATTTTGGATATATTCGGATTTTTCACAAAAATAAATACGTATCTACATTCGAGCATAAAAATCTAGTCAAAGTCTAGCCAGTGTAGACATTGAGTAAGCATTTGAGTCGAACATTTTATATAATCGAAGAGATTTAAAGTGCTCGAAAATGATCAAATTTTTCTAACATCCCAATATTCGACGTTCCGAGTAGCTATACTAAGCTATACTTATTCAAAGCTATACCACGGTATACATATACTTCATATGTCAACTCACTTTAAAACTTTATAAAGTATTTTACTTTAAAAAATTGAAGGGGCCATAAGAGTTATTGTTTCCCCTACATTATCTAAGATTGACATAATTAGTCCGCCTTGACCTACATCTTTTTATTTAAATATGACATTTAGTCTCCGAAAAAACCTTTCTTTATATTTTTATATTAAACAAAACTACGCTTAAAATACCTGGGGGCTCTACAGTTTATTTAGTTATAAGACATCTCACGAGTAAAACTTGAATCATATGTTAGGTTCGCAATAACTTTGTGGGTGGTGTAACGTAATACTAAAAACTTTTCTATGTAATAATGTATAAAGTCTTAGCATCATGTCATGCATCTTTACAATGTATTTAACGTTCCGATATTTAAGGAGAAACACTTTTTAGAAATGATTTTCTCACAAATATACGTTCCACAAATTAAGAATCAGTCATAGATTGCACTATATTTATAGTATAGTATAGTATCTCGTTGAAATCTCTGTAGTTGCTGTAAGAATTATGTTTTTTAAGCCCCTGTTCGAAAAGGTGACCGATACTTGATCGCCATAATACTATATAAAGATCTATAATATATAGATAAAGATCTATATAAAGATCTTTGTGATTATGACCGGTTAGGTAGCGGAACACAACCAACTATACTGTAAACTTTGCACTTTCGGTAGTACTCCCTTTATTGTACGTAGCATTTGATTTTAGTTTTGCTGTAGGTTTATTATTTTAAAAAAAATTATAGCTAAACTGTTAATATGTATGGGTAGCAATCATTATCATTAATGGCGCAACGATTCTAGTTGAATCTTAGTCTCCCTGTTAATAACAATAATGATGCAAAAAAAATCATGCGATTGTGTATTCGATGATGTGTCTTTTTTCATTATAGGGTTAGTGATGGGTGCCCAAATATTTAAAAGCTTCAACTAGTTTTAATTAAACGCCTTCGTAAGAGGCTTCATTAGTACTACGTCGTCTGTGTATATTTAAAATTAACAATATACCGACTGTTAATTTCAATTTTCGTTTTAGCTGTTCTATTGCTAACTTTTTTCTTAAGCATAAGTGTTTAAATCTTTCTTTAAAATTCTAAGAAAATATAATGTTAGTATACATATTATATACTAACAACAGTATCAGGTTCTGCGAAAAATAAATGGAAGTTTCTGCTAACTTTCATCCAGTTTAGATAGTCAATTGTTAATATAAATATTTTGAAGCCTTTAATTTTCGTAAAAGAGGGCTTTATTTAAGAATGCTTTAACCCAACCTTCTATTAAAGAATAGATATATTAGGTTCAACAAACGGCAGTTTGTCAACATCAATGATTAAGTGCCTATTAAGTGTACGCATGAAGATATAAGCAATACTGCCAAGCAACAGTAGAACTACTTATGTTACAACAACAACCTGAATGGAATAGAGATACTATTTCTAGTAACTCTAATATACTATATATAAATGCAACACGTCTAAATCTCCTATCAGTCAACATCAATGATCAAGTGCCGATTTGAACGAATGAAGACAAAAGCAATCCTGCTAAGCAACAGTAAAACTACTTATGTTACAAGAGCAACCTGAATGGAATAGAGATACTGTTCTAACAAATTTAAACTTGTGTAACATATCAAAAAAAAAAGTTTTTCTTTTGCAAAATATAAAAAAAAAAAACTTTATTCTTAAATTTGAGAATGCTGATGAAACGACAACTAATAAACATATTTTAGAAAAAGAAAACAAAAGCTAACAAAACTACATTAACGATAGCAAGTTGGATATAAGATGATATTTTTTAATTAAAATTCTATTTAAAATTTTAAAATTAAAATATTGCAAAAATGTGTTGTAAATTATTTTTACCGGACTTAAAATGGGTTATTTAACACCTTAAATGGAAATACTTATGAAACGAATGTATTTTTAATGTTTGTTTTAAACAGAAATTTAATTCAAAAACATCATCTTATTTCAATTTTGTATAAATTGACCTGTTTTAGAAATTCAGTTATATTTTATAAAACACCTGTTTAGTCTGTTTGTCTAAAATATTTAGAAAACACTTGTGCAATTTATTTGATATGCATATAATCATGATAATGATAAACAAAACACTAATCTAACTGAAAAATATGTTTATAAAGGCCTTAATAACAGATATTAAATTGAAAAAAAATGTTCAGAACATTGAAAATGTTCGAACTTCTATTGTGAAGAATATTTAATAACATACTCGAACAGGATATGTTACAAATTTTGTACCTTCCATAATATACGTAAAATGTTAAATATGTTATATACATACCGTCTTCTCTCAACGTCGTGAGGATCAACCCCAGGTGTTGTAATAGCAACAGATGTAAGACTGATTACTGAACTTGAGCGTGGTGGAGCTGGTTGTTTAACTACTCCCAATTTCAAGCAACAAACATATATTGGATTCACGAGAATGCTGATAACAACTTGCATTATGTTAGGAAAGAAGCTGGCAAAAGTGAAACTTTCAGAACTATCACCACGACCGTTTGGATGTCTTTGGTAAAAGCGTAAATACACCCAAGAAACTAGTAAGCCAGATGCAAACATTGCCGGATAAGTGCCATCTAGTAAATTGATCGCCCACATAATAATGGCACACACTAAAACTGCAAGAGGCACGTTCCTAAAAGTACATGAATTATATGTGTGTACATTTTAAATATGTTAAACATTTTAAGCACATTATTACCGATTTGTTAGTTTACCATAACGTGTCTTAAAGATTAAATGATCCGGCATAATTTGTCGTACTGCAACACAAATGCCTGCCACATAACCAGCCAAGCCATGTATGTGCACTTCAAATAGTATACTTGGATTCTTAGTAACCATGTAGTAGAAGAGATAATAGATAGTTGTTAATATAGAAACACCAAAATTGCTTAATGCAAAAAATTTAAACATTTCCATTTGTCCCCATAGTGGTTCTAACATTTTACCACATAAGCCCACTGTCACCACGTCAACAAGAACTTCCCACCAATGCAGTTCAATGAAACAAAATGTGAACGCCGTCCATATCCAAAATTTTGAATTGGGTAATATGAAACCTGGCGTAACACTTAGCAAACGTACAGCTGTTGATGAATATGATAGCAAATAGCCGCCGGTGGTTACCAAGCAAATCAGTGTTATCACTGGTGATGTGTTTCGCAGAAGCGCCGAAAATTGTTGCTTCAGGTACGGCACATTCCTATTGAGGGCGGACATTTTACTTGGTGGCTGTTGCCTTGTTGTCGACATTCTCCTTCTTCAGTAAAAATTACACATTAAAATTTATTTTATCTTTTGTTTTCTTCAACGTTTCGTACATAAATGTTTTTTCTGTATATTCGCACTACATTTGTAATTGGTATATATCAGCAGATATCTGCGCCGTTAATAAGCCAATCGCCGTCAAATTTTTGATGAGCAACACAGTTCATTTTATGACATTTAACAATTTTTGCAGAACATGAAATTTAGAATTTTATAAAATAAATTAGAAAAAATATGTGTTCAAAAATATATAATAATTTACTTTGACAAAAATTCATATCATTTCATACCATTATCTATTTATATATAAGTGCAATTATATGACACAAGTTTAAAAAAACTATTGAGATAAATTATATATTGTTATCATTTAAATAAAAATATTTTTAAAATTTTATACTAGGTCAGTGTTAACGCTGCATATAACTAAATATATATTCGCATAAAACCAGTAAAATAATATTCTATAAGAAAACTGGAAAATTCACTGTGTTACAATTTCATATTTCAAACTATATTAAATTAAAATATGAAATGATTAAAATCTATTCTGTAACATACAAAATATGTGTATATTGAAGAGTTCAAACAATTTTTAACATAATTATTGCAAAAGAATGCTTGAAGCCGTTCTCTAATGTAGCGCCTTTAAAATTTGCCATAAAATATGTGTAAAACGTCAAAACTAAAAAATGTCAGAAAAGTGTATAAAAAAAAAAACAACTGCTAGCAAAAGGAGTTGCCAGTATATTTTTATTATTTGAAATTATTTTAATAAACATTTTTATAATTAATATAATTACAAATTTGTACTAAATACTTACAGCCATCTAATAATTTTGAACTAAAGAAGTTTGTTTTAAATTCTATATATGCAGTGCCATATTTACACTTACAATTAACAAAGTCTAGCACAATTTAAATAAAATTTATACAAAGAATGGTGAGTAAATTGCAATAGAGTAACATATTGTCATATAAAATTTAACATGTAATAGTGAATATTAAAAAAAAAAACAATCATTTACTTATGAAAATAAATATAGATAAACTTGGGTCAAAGTATTATTACCCAAAAATTTATTAATGCGCATTACACAATATTGTTTCACTGCTATATCTCCAAGAAATGAATATTATAATACCTACAATTTTTTTGCATAACTTAATTGATAAATATACTCAAATATACATATCGTAAGAATTTGATTACTAATATCATCGATATCAATTTTCCGTCTGTCCGTCCGACGAATTTAAATAATTATCGATCACGATTATTATTTTTTTTAGTTGATAATGAATAGTTTTAGGAGACTGTATGATCGTATCTAAACAAATAAAAGCGTTCCACAATACTGAAATATCATAATATTTGTGTTGTTTAAGAAAAATGAAAAAATTGTAATATATTATAAAAAATATTATATTATAACTAAATTTTTTTCCTTTAATGTATATTTTTGAAAACATAAATTTTTAATTGCACCTGCTAAAAAATTGTTTTGTTTTAAATCCAATAAATATTCATTTTTATTTCTTAACAAAACAAGAAACTATTAACCAAAAACAATAGGCGTATTCAGAAGTGCTCGTTAGCTTATTAACTCGATGAAATGATAAGGTTTTGTATTTGCGAAATTACAACGTTACGAAAGCATTAAACACGATGATTATTTCAGTATTCGGTCAAAAATTAGCTGATACTTATTGCTCTGCATTATTGTGCAAAATTCTCATTTTATATAAGGGGTATTTACGCTGTCTTACAAAGTCATTGCAAGGTGCACGAATTGCACAGATTAGCTTGCAATGGACAACAACAAAATACACGCACAAAGTTTCTTACAATTGTTTGCAATATTGCTATTCCTCAACCCATGTACATATAGAAAAAGAAATACTTGTTTTGACATCTGTTGCTTCTTATGTAGATGTGGTATGCTGAAAAAACAGCTGTTTTATTTAATGTTGAAATTCTGGAATAGAGATGTTCTCGCACTCTTGCGATATTAACATAACATTCGTACATTTCGTGTACCTTACAATGACTTTACATGACCAATGAATACCCTAATAGTTTTTGAATAAATTTGAAATTAACTTTTATCTTTTTTTTTACTTTTATGCAAAGCAAAATAGACAAAATCAGTTGTCTTGTCAATTTAATTTTACAACCTTACCGAGAGAAATAAAAGTGGCCTTCAGACTTTAAGTCTAAATACATCTGCTGTGGTTAAATTAAAAGTAATTCACAAAATCATATAATGATTTAAGAATTTATTATTGTTTCAATAATAAAATTAGTCTCAAATATTCCAGACCTGTAGGACAGTAGATAAATTTTGAACTTAGCTTAAATTTATAATAATATCATAATAAGATGAAGTTAATGTTTTTACGTAAAAGTCCATCAGATCACATTTAATTTTTCACATTTATATAGTTCAAGGGCACAACAATTTTTCCGTTGATATAATTAATTTTATGTTTTTAATAACCAATATCATTTTTTCATTTTCATATCACAATTCTTATCAGAAAATCTTTCACGCATGAAGTGTTTTCTCGTATCTAAAAACTAATTGGGAAAAAGACCGTGGCATTCGTATTGTATAAAACTTGCTTGTTTGATTTAAATGTATAAATTCGTTCAAATGACATTCAAATAGGAATGAACAGCTGATTATGTTATCTCTTCTTCCACATAACCCATTAATTATCCCACCTTTACTGTTATATTCATATAAACTATGAATTTCTGTAGTTATAATTAAGATCAAATTAATATAGAAGGTAGATAAAATTTAAAAATAGTTGTTTCTTTATTTAAACGAAATGGTCAGCAGATTAAAGGCATATGATTTACTTGATTTTTACTTAAAAACGTTCCCTCACTTAGTGTTTTACTCTACTCAAAAAGAAAATATGATATTCTTTATTCTTTGATATTTTTTACTTCCTCAACTTTTACTTTTTTACTATAATGTTGTGGGTACAGACTTTATGTTATTTTATTACTTCGAAAGTGTGGAGACGGACTTATAGTTGCATTCAAAATTCACTTCATTTAAATTACATGCAATAAAATTTCTTTATTTATTCTTCCATTTCATTTTAAGTTTTGTTTGAATAAGAATTGCAATTTTTGCTAGATGAAGGTATATCTGAACAAAGCTAAATGAATAATTTTAATTTAGTAACTCAAAAAAATAACACGGATCATTTAATAAAGTATGTCTTTACTGCTTGGGTAATTTTTACTAGTAAAAATTGCTGAGTCACGATTTTCTAAAAAAGCGGGTCCAAGAGATCAATTTGACCATAAGTGGGTCTTATGTACCATTGTGAGCATAGAAAAAAATAAAGCGATATGTAGTCTACTGCCTTTAAGTAAATACTTATTTTATTTTGTCTGCATTAGAATTTTTCTTGTACAGATTTTCGGTATATATTTTACGGACGAATTTAATGTTTTTTTAATGCATAATTCGTTGATAAAATATTTTTTTTTTTAATTTAAATTCCTGTTGCGTAGTTAAGAAATTGCCACATGATTGAGCAACTACTGTTTCTCTGTTTCCACTACGATGTCAATAATTGCGTGTTCTAAGTGGATTAATACATTTCTAATCACTCTCATTACATATATAAAAATTTACTATTCATCGAGCGTAACACCTAGTATTCTATATATTTCGAACTTCATATCTTGTAAACTACAATTGGACTGGTTACACTGCAAACATTTACCTAGATACACTATATCTCTGACGACGCAGAGGTGGTTGGCTGCGCGTTTGCTGAAAGCTATTCTCTCAATTGGGTGAATATAAGTCAAAACTAAGATGCGTGAAAAGAATTTGACGATACGAAAACTGTTATAGATAACATTCTTTGCACAAAAAAATATGTGTGACATAGTCGATATGTATTTTTTATTGAACCTTATGTGGTGAATAAGGCATAATTTCATTTCGCTTCCCCTACGTTACTTAAATATTTCGTTACTAAAACTTTCAAAAATATAATAAAAAAAAATATTTACAAAATAAAGTACAAAAGAAATTAGCTTTTTAAGGTTTGTAATTGTTGTCTTGTTATTATATTTACAAGTTACTTTAATCATATATTTTTATAAAAAAATTATTTTAAAGCTCCTAAAGATATGCAGCTTTTGAAAAGCAAAATCTTAAATATGAAGATGAAAACTATGTAGGCTTTGACATACGATTATTGATGATAACGAAAGTAAACATTTTGTAATAAATTAGGAACACCATATTTAAAATCTTACATTTTTTTTTAAATTTATTACATTTTTGTAAACATGTAGGTTTTTTTTGAAATTACTTATTACACAATTACATTCTACTTATATGTAAAACTCAAAACGAAAATGTGTTGAGTAAGCTAAATGAATGCAGACTTAAAACAGTAGCGCACCCATGCCTCCCATCTCAGACTGTTCTTTAACAAAAATCTCAAAGTATTGGTAAATAATTGTAACCGCAAGCAATATACCAGTACCGGAACCGATGGCGCCTAAAAAGTCAGCCATCACAGATAAGGCTCCTATACAAAGGCCACCAAATGCTGCGGCAGTTGGAATATAACGATTCAATTCATGAATCATTGAATTTTCGCGATGGCCACGCATTACCATGTGTCGTTCTCTTAACTGTTTAGCAACCTTTAAAGCAAAAAATAAACATTAATATTTTAGAAATACGAATATATATTGAATACGGAAACTTACATCTTTCGCAGAGCTTCCAGACACATCAATCCACGTTTTAGAGAAGAATGCACATGATCCTAACATAAACACAATGTACAAAATTGCGTGTATAGGATCTGTGAGTATGTGGCCAACGCTTTCCGGTGGCGACAGATAGTAGCAGAGACCTCCAATTGGATACGAACGAGCTGGGCCACCACCACCAACATCAGCCCAAACACCGAGTAAATTAATGAATACGTTCCCTTGAAATTTAACAGCCAACATTTGAGAAATGACGTACAAGTTAGATACCAAAGCTGATTGCAAAATAATTGGAATGTTGGACGTATAGAACAATTTGATTGGATAGCTGCTGAATTGTCCACGATAACGAGCGGATGTGATGGGTACGTCAACACGGAAACCTTGGAAGTAAATGACTACAGCAAATACTAATACTGTTGCCAAGAGGTTCATAAGATTTGGTAGATTTTGACGATAGAATGCCTCTCTTAATGCTCGTACTTTATCGTTTCTAGTCGCCATCAAGTGGAACAGTGCTATCACTGCACCTTCAAATTCAGTACCACGACCCGTCGTCACTGTAGTGGGTGAGAACGCTTTCCACACGATAGTTTCACATATATTCGTTGCAATGAAAAGGGAAATTCCGGAACCTAATCCATACCCTTTCTGCAATAATTCATCAAGCAGTAAAACAATTAGGCCAGCAGCAAATAATTGAATGATGATCAAAAGGCAGACACCAGCACCTATTTCCGAAGGATCACCATACATGCCAGTCATGACATAAACGATGGCTTGACCGATTGTTATTACCATGCCAAACAGTTTTTGCGCTCCATTGAATAGAGCACGGTCCTTTGGTGAATCACCAACTTCGATAATTTTCGCACCAGCTAACAATTGCATTATCAATCCAGAAGTAACAATTGGAGAAATACCCAATTCCATAAGGGTACCTCGATTAGATGCCAAAATAACACGTATCCAGTAGAAGGGATCTGCAGAATCTGAGCTCATAATGCCAAATAATGGGATTTGGCAGCATACTAAGAAAATAAATAATGTTATTGCCGTCCATAGCACTTTTTCTCTGAATTGAATCTATGTAATAAAATATAAGAATTATATTTTATATTATATTAAATATAGTGATAAAAAGTCAATACAATTAATTACATTTCAATGTTAGAATATTTTATTAATAATTATTTCATTAATTACGGGATCTACATAATTTTTTTTAAAACACAGCATTTGACATATAATTTACTTCGTTTTTATTTTGATTAGCTAATTCGCTAAAAAATGCAGACGGAGATAACAAGTGTTTTCATTATTTGTTAATGTTGGCAACAGTGCAGTTTTTGTCAATTGCAGCTTATTTAATAGCCGAGAAACGAATTTCAATTGTTTGCCGGTAGCCTTCGGAAGTGGTTGATAAGTGTAAGTGTTTAGTGAAAGACGTGATTTTTTATTTCGAGTGAATTTGTTAGAATATCGGTAAGTTGTAAATTAGTTTTAATTACAAAATGTGTATGTTTCTTATTATTACAATATTTGTAATTTCTCTTATTATTACAAAATACGTATGTTTCTTAGTAAATGTCTGCGCATGAAATTTAAATTTGTTGTAGTGGGCGCGTCTGCTCCGTTCGCGGTATATTCGACGCATTTGCACGAAATAGAGTTTCAAAATAATTGCACAGTTCGAGCTTTTTCAATTAGAAGTTTTGATATTTAATTTGGAAAATTGAATTGTCAAATTAGACAGAGAAATGAACATTTAAAGTTAGACTACGACGAAAAGTGAAAAAAGTGTATATGTTCCGACCGAATATATTTGCAAAATTTTTGTTACAGTTTTCTTTACGCAAGAATGTTTAGTTGGAGCTAAAAAATATTTGCAATCATCCAATATGGCGATTTTTATTTAGTATTGATGAAGATATTTCTTTTTATGTCAATTGTGTGATTCAATAAGACAGCCGGTAATATAAAAGTACGCACATAAGTGATTAGAAATTGAGCGTTGTAAATATATGTATGGTAATGACTTCCACACATTGAAGTAATAAGTTTTAGCGAACATTTTTCAGCGCTTCAAAGCCACAAAGTAACATAAACAATAAATATTTGTTTATTTAAAGAATAAACTTTTATTTCATAGTTATGTGATTTGCTTCTAACGTACGTGCTGAGATCAACAGTGCATTTTCTCGTAAAATCTTAGCTTTTAGTTAGCATTTTTCAGTTTCAACATATTATATTACATTAAAGTGAATGTATAAATGAAATTTGTTACAGTATCATTTTAATAGTTTTATTATAAATAATTTACGGCTTTTTATTCAAAATTTAAAATAAATAAAAATTGAAGTTGGAATTGGTGATGAGGGATTAAATGCAACACTGTAGGTAATGGGAAAGTTGAAAAGAGAGAGTCAACATTACTGCATGCGTGGCTATTTTAATTGTAAATAAAATTAGAAAGTTAGTGGAAATATGATTTATGGTTCCTTTAAGAATTTAATATCATGAATGAAAATTATGTTAAATAACAAAGTTACGAATACATAATGAAGTTTTTTGAATTTCCCTTTGCTATATGTAACATTTATAGATAAGGCAACATTTTCATGTTAAAATACTTACCTTTCGTTCAGGTTTAGCAATTTCCGGCAGTATGCTGCAGAAAGGTTTTATTACTTCGAGGAATTTTACTATAAAATTAAAAAACAATTAGTTGATGTAAATACTTGTAATATAATACCAAACATTAAAAAGTGATGTCTATTTATGTCCTGGGAAAAATGTAAATAGATGTATGTATTTTTTGATCTATTTTTGCACCAAATTTCACCTTAAGTTTATCATAATTATTACGGGATAATCGCTGGGAATTCGTACCAACTTTCTATATGCCGTCCACGTCAATTAGTGCATACATTTCCACAGTACATTCTACTTCACTTTTCACTCTTGATTTGTTGCTTAGCTACTTACTTCCCATTTTGTGTTACTTAAAGTATTTTATTGAAGTTAAATTATTCGTTGTTTAACTAATATTTTAGAAATATCTTTTATCAATCTATGGATAACAAAAATTGAAAGCACAAACGGTAATCAACTTCGAAGAAGATGACACTGCGGACCGATGTTAAAAACTTGAATGAAAGAAATTTAACATTCGGCACTCAATTTGCGGTTGCACTTCTTCGTTTTAGTGCTACCAAATCTGATGTAATACGAAAATTCCTAAAAATGTCAGCATTTATATTTCTTAGTAGAGCCCTTCACTCTAACTATAATACTGTGGACATAGCGAATTTTTGTACAAAAATGTGTTAATACTCATCTCTTTCTAAGAAACTTTGTTGGGGTATTATTTTTATTTCTTGGGATATTTTTTACACAGCTGTCAAGCATGCACATACATTTCAACATGAACATTTCGGCTATGAAACGTGGTTACACACATAAGCAGTGTGTAAAAACAACAAGATACACGTCGTTGAATTTTTGTTCACGTGATCAAAAATAAATGCTGCCAGTTCCTCAAAAGGGAATTTTATATTAATGTACTTATTTTATTTAAAATATTTATTTATAAAAACTTTTGTAGAATATCACCTAATGCATATAATGCATATTATAAATAAGTTTACATTGTAAAAGAAAAAAATTTCTATTATAATTTTATCTGTTACTTATCATGCATAATGTAGTCTACATCTTGATTTAATTCCAACTCAAATATAACTGACAGAATTTATTCTTGGAAATAAATAAATTTCTGAAATATCTTATTATCATACATCAATACATCTGCGTATATAACAGTTTTCAAATAGGAAATATTATACACATATGTTTTTGGTTTTTATTTCTTATAAATAATTAAAACTGTAGCAACATTTAATATATAGAAGTTAATTTCATTTTATTTGAATTTCATCAACATTTACATATATATATTAAAAAACAAATGTATCAATATTTAAATATCACTTTTATATAAAGCTCAGGTTATATTATTTTAATCTCTAGTGATACCAGGGCGCGAAACTTTTACATAAATATGAAATGGCCATCACATAGGATGTCGTCACCTAACTAAATCTAGGGAGTGTTTGAAACTCCATTCTTGACTTTTTTATATGTATTTAACAACTAATTTAATTTGTATACAACAGTACTGGCGCATATTATCATTAACAATTAGTTTAAATGAGGTTTCTGGTTTAAATTTTTAAAGTAAATTACGAATCAGAGATATCCATGCACTTTTTACGAGACCTATTATTAGGTATTATAAAATTATATTATGCATAACATGATATTAAACTTTTTTTACATTTCGAAGTATTACAATATAGATTTATAGAAAAATTTTTAATAAATTAAAATTATTTTAAACCAAAACTCATTTGGGTTTCAGTCGCATTCTAGATAAAAAAAAAATTACTTCTCCATAAAAATGATAATTAATGGGTTTGGGAAGTATTCGAATTAATTTTATCATATAGAATATGTATACATATATCCCTAAAAAATTATTTAATTTCATTGTATGTATTTACTACATATTAATTTATATTGTAACAATATATGAATAAAATTATGAAAAATGTTTTTAAATGAAGCTATAAACAGGTGTTAATATTTTTATAATTTAATTTTAAAATAACACATTAAGTTATTTTTTTTACAGTAATTCGGTGCTTAGATAATTATTCCAATATTTATTAATTATTTTCGTTTGCTTCTAATTATTATAATAGATCATACTTTGTTTTTTTTTTAATATCATATTATGTTTGCATTTCACACAACAGCAGTTCGATAGAAAAAAACGAGTATATTATTTTATTTATATATTAAGTTAAAGCTTATGCATTTATACTGAATACCATAACTAATTCAGTATAGATGTTATACATTTTATATAGAAACATACTACTACTACTATTCTCCTTCACTTTTCCTAGGTGTCTTACAAAAAACGACGAATTTTAAAAAATAAAACCATGTTTTAAGTTGATCCAGTAATATTTATCACCTATAAAATGAAAATGGAGTGTGCAGTTTTTGCGGGTTGCGTCTGGTATATCTCTATCTCTGTTTATTTTATCTTATCATATCAATTTAATTCTAATTTAATATACTTACATATATATTAACTCTACAATAATATCCAATTTTTTTAGAATTATACTAATAAAATCAAATACAAATACTATTTTAATATTATTTCGTCTTTTTTAGCATAATTAATTTTAAAAATCGGCAATGGATGAAAATCATATTAATCCTAATGATGCTTCAGAAAAACCACCCAAGGTTTCACTAAATCCTATAGCATTGAAGGCTTTGCAAGATCTAATAAGGTAATACGGTAACAAAACTAAAATTTATTTATTAAAAGTATTTAACAAAAGTTAATACTATATAAAAGCAACAATTTATAACAGTTCAGTAAATATATTTATAAAGCTGTTGTTTAATCGTTTGCTTTGAAACTAGCACTAATAATAAAAATTGGTAAATCTCGAAATTTAATTAATTTAAATTAAATTTATGTTGACTTTAAAAGTTACCATACGAGTCCACGATTTAACAGATTCAGTTCTTGAAACTTCAGATGTTTTCAAAGATTACTGATGTTGCCCATAGCTTGTATGGAGGGTTTGAAAAAATTCACTTGATTAAAATTTTTTTCTATTCTATGAATTTTTTTCAAAATAATATTTCAAATAGGTTTGGATATTAATTTTGAAATTTTGAATTTTAAATTATTAAAAATTTTAGATCTACTGGTTTTGCGCAATTATTCAGAAGTCGTCTGATATTTTCGGATATAAAACGGCTTCCACCACTTTTTCCTGAACCGCCGATTTATTATCCATTACCAGTCAATATAAGTGAAAACGTCAAAACATTTGAGTTGTTGAAGTTACCACCAGGATGTGTTGGTGCACCATCAAAGACTGTTCTACATATGGGAAATGATTTTAAAGGATGGGATATTGCATTACCAATTGATCAGGAAATATTCGATCTGGAGTAAGATTTTGAATTTTGTATTTATATTCCATTAAAGTTAATTTATTTTATATTTAATATATTTTAAGTTTATTTTGTTCCAACTATGCTGATCATATCCATGATTATGTGAAAACATTAGATAATAATTCTAAGAAAGAATTAGAGTATTGTTATATTCGAGGCTTTGAAACACCTAATGACTCGGTTTTTGAATTCTTTACCGATGAGCAAGTTGCAAAACTTTTGGAGGATTTGAGTATTCAAGAGCCAAAAAAGACTGATGGGCATGACAAAAATGCTCAGGTACAATGTTATGTATATAAATATGTTTATCAAAGTATTAAACTATTTCGTTTGGGTTTATAGTAGTAGTTTTTAGTTAGTCAGAAATTAATATTGTGTTATATCGTATTTTAAATTATATATTATAACTCTCCTAATAGAAATTTTTAAACTAGTATTTACATTGCTGCTACTTATAAAACTTTTAATAGAGTTCACGCTCCTTAGAATATGTTAGCATCTCAACATATAACTTACGCTGTACAATCTATTATTTGTTTCATTCTCTGGATATTACACAGAATAGACTACTAATTATAAAGCCTATTTTTAAACCAATATTTTCTAAGCGAGTAGTTTGATTAGATTAATATATCTATTTACTTTTGTGTTAACACCCAAAAATTTCAAAAAATTAAAATCAAAAATCAATTATCCCAAAAATCAATTTTTTTATATTTTTTAAAAATTTTTTTTTTGAAAATAATATTTTTAATTATTTTTTTCTTTTTTAATTATTTAAATTTCTATATTTTTATTAAAATATATTACGTCACATAACATTTTTTATTATTTTATCAAGGTGCCATCGTCGTCTTTAGCTGAGCAACCTCATTCTTCTTCTTCGCATCCATCTATGGCTTGCTTCTGCTACAATATAATAAGCTCGTTACAGGCAATATATATATATATCGTGGAGTCTATTTATAACTTGCTATAATTATGTACCAGAGAACCTTAATCTTTCGATTTTCATTGTAGTTACAATATCCGCTTTCTTATACAAGCATCTCTAAATTCCATTTTCATTTACTACTTTATATGTCCTTCTTATAGACATACTTTTTCTTTTGAAGACATTTTTCTTCTTCTTTTAAATGCATTTTTTATATCGCTTTTTGTCAGAGTCCACTTACTCCAAGACCGGAGCGGTTAACATCGAAGCTTAATTTTGATTATCTGTTCAAATTCTGAGTCTTAAGATGCATAGATATGTCATAATATGCTTTATTTTTCTAGTTTAACCTTCAATATATTTCTTGCTAACACTATTGTTTCAATTTATATTCGATCCCAAAAATGTGAAGTCGTTAACTACAACAAATATGTATTTCTCCACTTAAACTTTCTATTCTATTTTAAGAATATATTTTATGATTTAAGATTGATATCTAACTATTAGATTGATATCGTCTGGCATATATTAGTAGTTTAAAAGATATATACAATATATTCTCTATTGATTTCTAATTCTCTGATAACATTTTTGAATACGATATTAAATAGCTCATTTGATCACTCGCCTCTATGTCTAAATCATGTATTTTAAATTCTATTTAACGCATTGGACATTTTCACCAAATAATAATATTCATGATATTATATAATCTTGTACGTCTACAACCAGTTTTCAACAGGTCTGTCCCGTTTTCAAACTGATTGTATCGTTATTTCGAAAGAAAGTATTTTTATAATCTTGATCTGTGAATTGATTCGAGATCTGTGCTTAAAATATTTAATGGACTATCCGGCATCCTCATTTAGATTGTAAAGTGGTAGTAGTTCTGTTTTTTATTTTGTGGTTCCGGAACTATTAACTCTTTCGTATTTTTTTTTGTGAAAATAGAAACAAAGGGTAAAAAATGAAGAATACTTGATTTGATTTAAACTTGCTCTGTTTTGAGTCAATAAAAAACTGGCTTTGTGTATAATTTAACAAATTCAAAATTGTCTTTTTAACTCTGAGAAGTGTAAGAGACTTTGATGTTACCAAAGTCCACGGTTGGTCTACTATAGCCAATGTTTTTTTTTATTTTAAATAAAAATAATTATTTTTCTTGATCAATAATTATTGATTGATTGATTCTTTTAGAGCAGGGCTGTCAAAACCACGGCCCGTGGCTAATGTTTCAGAAGCCCGCGATATGTTTTTAATCTACTACAATTACTCAAATTTTCCCTTGATGCACTGGTAAAAGTGCATTATTTTATTTTTATATCATAAATGTATTTAAAATGATAACTTTAACATACGGTTATAGTATTTTTATTTTTGTCGTAAACCACTATGAACGTACATATGTATTTGTTTCTGTATAGTGATTTGTATTGTCCCGCGATCGCAATTGGTGTGGACAGCCCTGTTTTAGAGTATGCATTATATATATTCTTATTTTTTATACAAATTTTTTAAACAAATTTTAATTTAATTTAATTTAAAAAATATTTTACAGTTGCTGACTTATTTTAATAATTTTTTATTATTTTTGTTTTAGTAAACAAACTCCACGCCCCCAAGATGGCATGTCGAGTTATATTATCCAGAATTTTGCAAATACAAAAGTATTTTTTATCGTTCAATTACTTAATCATTAATTATTACTTAATATCGAATATTGAAAAAAGAGTCTACGAATTTATTGTTAAAACTACGCATTTACCATTACAACTACATTATAAATTAGATTTTGATGACTGAAACAACCGAAATAAATCTCAGTACCTCTGTTAGTATTATATAGACTGATAAACTATAAACCACTTTTGTTATCTTACACGTAGAACTTAAATTTTAATGGTGATAAAATTGTTAACATAACTATTAAAAATAGTTAGCAAAACAAATTGTTATAGAATTTTGGTTAAGCGAAATTGTTTTACTATATCGCTTGACATTTATTTATATTAATAGCACTACTAAGTCAAAAACTGAACCACGCGAAACTGCGGCTGTGTCTACATATTTTAATATATGAATGGAATTCAAATAATATTTAAGGTGTTTAACATAACACAACTGACTATATCTTTGTTTTAGCAAGTTTTTACGTCACAATTGACTCGTATAAAAATATATACGTATAAAATAAATTTTAGAAATATATTTGATTTTATTAAAATGGACATACATATTATTATTCCTAATATTTTAATTGCAAAAATAAAAATGAAATCTTATATATATTATAAGAAGCCATAATTTTAAACTTAATATGCATACATATATATAAATTTGTAAACCCGTTAATCGTTACTTAGTTGAGAATATTATAGCGAATAAAAATAATAAAAATTAAAGAGACTGTTTTTTTTTTAAGTAAAAATGTTATAGTTAATCATGGTTTAAGTAATGAATAGATGTATTTGATAAACGGAGATGCATAAACAACGGCTAAAAAAACTAATTGTTAACCAGTTGTTTAACTGCGGATGAAAAAATCGGTTCTGTTATGCGTTAAGGACTAGGACCAGTTTATTTGTTGACGTGATTACCATTGAACTAGAATGTTTGGATGTCCTGCACATATTTTCTTTGGTGTTCAGCAAAAGCTAAACAAACAACGCCAGTTATACTGAGATTTGCGTGCTTGTGATAAGTGTGGACAACTTTGTCAAATCTGAATTGATTTCTAAAAGAGGAATCATAAACACAATATTATTCATCAAATAAACAAAGAATGCTGTATTCAACTTGACTTTGGTGGTCACAGCTGAATCGGCTCAAACAGTAAGTTAGCTTTGGTCCACTCAAAAGTGTGTAAACAGGAAACACTACTTTGTATGTAAGCTAAATTCTTACATAAAAACTATAATGTTGCGTATTATATCTTGTACTATTTAATATAAAGTAAGACAAAACTTAGGCTCACAAATATATGGAATAAATCCACATAACAGCTCTAAATGTATTTTCATGTTGTGACTGCTGGTAATATCGCAGATACCATAGGTTAGACCTGGTCGTTCTTAGAACCAATATTTATTGGTCGTTAAGTTTGACGAAACAAATTGATATAGCTACTTTCAGTTGGTATTTATACATGAATTAGTTTCTCAACTTTGACACCTTTTGAATATAAATCCAAATAATGAATACATGGTTTTTTTTTTCTATGTTGTACTTTACTTGTATTTAACACAAAGTGTCATTAGCAGGGAATAAACCTCGAACCCATTATCCGTGTCAATGAAATATTGAAAACTAGGGAATAAAAACTTCATTCAACATTAAATTATTATTTTCGATTATATGTGTATACATCAAACGACATATTAACCCTCTAATGCCCAGCACCGCCTCAAGGCGGGCTTTATAAAAACGGCTATCAAATGCTTATTTGGTTATATTTTTAATATTTTTTTGATATCAGGAGTTAGATAAAGTGTTATATTTTATTAAACTTTATAACGTGTTTAAGTATTTTGTTCCAATTTATGTTTATAACTGTGTGAATTGAAAATTCATTGCATTTAGAGCAAAATAATTATTTTTGAAGAAACATGATTTTTTTATATAAAAAACATACAATTTAAAAGAGTTTGATTAAAAAAAAAATACAGGTAAGTAGATGGAAGTGTTTTCTTTCAACTAGAAAGAATATTGTTTTGATTCCGTATTTATAATGTGCTTAAATTCGTATATTCCTTAAACCGTCTAAAGGCGGGCCTGGGCATTAACACGAGAAATAAATTGCCCTGCCATAATACATGAGTATAACAAACACATGGGAGAAGTAGATTTGATGTATGGTTTGATTGGTCGTTACCGTATTCGTATGAAAACGAGAAAGTGGTCTAACCGCATTTTTTTTGATCTATTAGATATGACGATGGTAAATGCATATATTCTTTATCATCGTTTGCATGAAAATTCAAAGTACCAACTTCCTGATTTTCGTACTGTAATTGCAGAAACCCTCTGTAACGTTGGTCCATCTGATACTCAAAAACGTGGTCGACCACCTTTGAATACACTACGACCTAAACCAAAGAGGGCATATATTCCCCCAGCCGATGTTCGTTACGATCAAACAGGTCATTGGTCTGAATTTCTTGATAGTTCGGGCAAAAAAACTTGTAAAATGGCTGGTTGCAACTCACAAAGGCAAGCTTTTTGCACAAAATGCAAATTAAATTTGTGTGATTCCACAACAAAGAAACGTTTTTATAATTTTCTTAATAAGTTTTAATTTTTATTATTATTATATTATTTATTATTATTATTATTTTATCATTACTAATAAAGACTGCAAACAAAAAAATAGAAATTTCCATTTATTTTATTCACAAAAGTCAGCATCCTTTATTTGTATTTTTATACGCCTAAATGCCCAGGACCGCCTTGAGGCGGGCTTGACTTTTTTACGATTTACAAGACAACGAGACATCAGAATGAAAAAAGGACTTTGGATTCGACTTTTTTGACCTCAAATTAATCTAACTTGATTTTTTCAACTCAAAAAAAAAATGTGGCATTAGAGGGTTAAGAAGAAATCAGAAAAATACGGAAAACTATAAAAATTGATAAGAAAAGTATACACATTTTTTTAAAGTGTATATTTCTGTATGACGAAAATCACACCGCAATAACATATCGAAAGTTCCCAAAAGGCGGTGCAGAAGAGGACATCACATCGCGAATAAACAAGGCAAAGGCGGCGTTTGGCATGCTACACTCTATTCTGAGATCCCTACAAATAACCACTCAATAAAAAATTCGCATTTATAACTCGAATGTTAAGTTGATCCTGTTCTATGGTTGTGAGACATGGAAGGACGCAAATACAATGGATTCGCGTCTACAAGCTTTCTGCAATAAGAGCCTGCAATTAGAAATGGAAGCTGCAAATTACTCCTGGAATGACATCAGCCGTGCATCACGTAATAGAGTTCGCTATAAGAGAATGGTCGAATCCCTATGCTCCATTGGGAGATGAGGATGATAGAAGAAGAAATGTGGGACGGTTTTATATTGAAAACTTGTGCTCTAAGTTCATTCACCTCTTCTTTTTTTGGAAATGTGTCATATCTTAGATCCATCGATTAAATTTAAACATAATCTAATGTAACCTAAATTTCATACAAGATTTAAATAACTATTTGTTATTTATGTTGATTAATTTCGAGTACTACAATTTTATGCTCTCTCAGAAACTCAATAGAAAATTAAAAATTCAAAAAAAAAAATTTGAACCAAAAAATTACACTTATAAATGTAATTCGCAAACTTATTGACATTTTATATATTATCTATAAAAAAAATTATTCTTATATTGTATAAAATATGGTATAGATGGTATTTATCGTGGTACTTTTTAATAAATTAAATATAATAAATGTCAGAATGACAGAATTTATTTCAATGTGGTTACAAAGGGGTTAAGATTTCAAACAACAAGTATAGTTCTCAAATTCTGAATTTCAACGCTGAGTTACAGTAAAGTTTTCTGGTATAGTGAATAAATCTTTCATTACCAATTGGACTTAGTTTCCTAAAAGTTTACTAAAAATCCAGTTTATAAAAATATCACTAATAATATGCTATTATACAATTATTCTATATAAATATTAAACAATTGAGTTTATTTGTAAACGAACGCACACTTAAATTGGAGTGGAATATAAGAACCATTTTTTAAAAATCGGAGTTCCTCATTTTTCTATAAGTGGATTAAAAAAACTTAATATTTGCTGTAAAATCTTTCTTTTCTTTTAAATAGCGAGGAATATATTAGTTTTAAGTAGGTCAATGTTCTCATTATTTAGATTATTTTTCAAATACATTACTTACACATCAAAGGTGTGACATATGTTGACACTTTAACATAATTTTTCTAGAAAAGTTCTATGCTAAATTAGTTATTAACTATTTAATAGTTTTAATGAAATTTTTTATAACAATATTTATTACAGTGTATTACAAAGTTCTCTCTTAATAATACATATGGGCATATACAGCTAGGGACGGGGGGATATCAATATTTTTTTTATTGTTTTGAATGAAAACTAAGTATTGCTTAAAAGAAATGTGTTAAATTCGGCTTTTTAATCTTTAAGTAATTTACACATATACATATGTATATTTGACATATACATATATTTCTTAAATAATAGTTTTTCCACTTTATCTTTACATAAAGTATATGATAATGTTATGTCAGTATAATAGCGTCCCCACTAATTTCGGCTCTGAGTGCGCCCATGGTAATTCAGATTACATCCCACTAAGAAATGTGTTCTTTATAAAAAAACAAATGATTTTTTAATCTTAAGCCTTTAACCCTTTAAACGCATTACCTATAATGGTTGGTTGGTTGATGTTAAAATTGATATGTTAATATTTTTCAATATATCTATATGTCACAACTATCTACGTATATACAAATTTATATATGTTATATAATAAATCAAATGTGGGGGATAAACGAAATTTTAATGAAAAATATTTTAAATATATGTGTAATAATATATATAGAATTTGAAATAATTAATAAAGTAGAATTTAAAGATATACATATTATTACGCAACTTAATAAGATAAATTATTCTATAATGGTAATTCTACTTATATCCGTTAGATGCTTTTAAGCAAAATAAACTTTCAAGACAAATAAACTTTCAGAGTGGATCTTGATATTTTTGTTGAAATAACCAAACTTGGCATTCGGAACTTTATTTTCTTAATTGCTTATATAGATGGTTAACCGATTAAATACCAGGCAATGATATTTCTAGTTATATCCGTTAAATGGTTTTAAGCAAAATAAATTTTTAAGACACTTGTCAAATGGCCTTTCAGAGTGGATCTTGAAATTTTTGTTAAAATAGCCAAACTTAGCCTTCGGAACTATATTTTCTTAATTGCTTATATAGATGGTTAACCAATTAACAGGCAAGTTCAAATTTGTAATTTTGTGGTGACATTTCTATAGTAAATTTTAAAACAACACAACTTTAAGTAAATAAGAAGAGTTTGATATTTATTTGAAAAAATACTCTCACTTTATCTTTACCTAATGGCTAAAATTTATATTGCATTACTTCATCATTATAGTACTATGGGACCCAACGTGTGGTTAACCACACGCCTTTTTCGCCGAACATATGTTCTAACAAAT